TGGCTGCTGCTGCAGTGCACGCTCTCTCGCAGTGCGTGGGCTGGCTGAGCTGCAGCTCCTGCAGCACTGCTGCTGCTGCGGCAATGCTCGGCCCAACTGCAGCTCCTGCAGTGCTGCTGCAGTGCGCGCTCGCTCGCAGTGCATGGACTGGCCGAGCTGCAGCTCCTGCAGTGCCCAGCCTGGCCTCTCGCTGCCTGCACTCCCTGGCTTCCCTCGAGGTCCTCTCCAAAGGGCGCATCCCTCTGCACCCCCAGCTCGTTCCTCCTGCCCATAAAACCAGGCTCAGAGCAGGGCTTTAGTAGTGCTGGCTTGAGGGGGTGGGATGAAGCTCTCCCGGGATGGGGGTTTGTGAGGGCTGGATGAGCTGCCCTTTCCTAGGGCACGGAGCTCCCTGGGAAGAGCCACACGGCTGCACCCGGAGCATCTCTGCGGCAAACACCCTGCTTGAGGCTCCCTGTGCCGTGGACTCCCCTCCGATGACACGGTGACAGCGAGCTGGTGACAAAGGGCGTCCCCAGGGCTGGTGCTGCCAGCGCAGCAGCCGCTTCTCCTGCAACTATGTCAAAACACTGCGGTTGAGGAGAACTTAGGATAAGCCAACGGCAGATCATGGAAATACAGATATAAAAGCATCTAGCAATCCATTTTCTCTCTCAGGAAGGCTATAATTAGAGATTTGCCCGTTTCCGAAGGAGCACAAGCAGGCACGTGTCAGGCTGCTCCTCCCGCTTTGGCCACGTGCTGATAGGAAAAACACTGGCAGGGCCTTTGCTGGTGTTACCAATTCGTGCCCCGCTGCATGGTTAATGAACAGCTAGTGAGGTGTTGCACAAGGCATGATCCAGTTATTTATTCAATGCACCATACCGAACAGGAACAATAAATTACTGAACTGCTTTCACCTGAAGGCTTATGAACGCCTACTCGTCGTGCAGGTGATGGTGTTTGGTATCTATGCAGGGAGTAAATACAGGAATGGGGCAGGTAAGACAGCCAGACCCGTGGGATCCAGCAGCAAACACCCCTGTGCTGACACGGCACCCGGAACGGGGCCGCTGCGCCCGGAGGAGCCCTGGGCCTCCCCTCCTGTGTGGGCACAAGGCAGGGCCTTCACGAGAGAAACAGCTTTGGTTTAGCTTCTCTGAGTGATTAGAGTGTGTCTTGCTCAGGTATTTCTGCAGTTCACCCGTCTCTGATACCACCAAGAAGGGCCACTAGTTGCATTGCTCAATGTCACCGATTACTACTTACTTTCAAAGTAAATTCAATTCAGCTTGCTTTATTTCTTTCTACTTACTGATATTTTGGTGAAGATATAGATGAATAAGTAGAGGATTGCTAGGAATATCTGAATTCTTTTGCCTCCGAAGCGTTTCCGCAGGTACTCTGGCATGGTGGTCACCTGCGTGGGAGAAGGCCCCGTCAGGGAGGCCCGTGCAGCCCGCGGGCGGCAGAGCGTTCCTGCCAGCTGCCCCGTTGCGCCCTGGCCTCGCGGCGCCCGCGGGTCCCCTAACAGCTCTGCAGCGCTGGCTTGGCTGGAGCGGCTCTGAGTGACTGCGGGAGGAGGGCCCGCGTCTCCTGGGAGGATGGTGCAACTCCATCCGTGTTATTCCTGGCTTCACCTGGGCTCTGCCGCCTGCGCCTGAGCCCCTCCTGCTGCTCCGGGACGTGGCTGATTTGCAGCACCCTGGTCCTGCACAGCCCAGGCTGCAGCTCAGTGCACCGTGGTTTGCTCTCTGCCCTGCAGAGGAAACACCGGTGCACTGGGCAGTACCTAAACCCATGGGCCCAACAGGTGGGTTAAAAATCAGCAAATTATCAGTGCCCTCAAGGCATCCCATTTACTTACTCCCGCTGCTATGTAAATCGGAAGGAACAGCCAGGCCAGCACCAAAACGCAAAACATCCCCTGCAAAACAAACGGGAATGCAGGTCGGAGGCGGCTCACGCGCTAAGAGCCCTCGGGGACGTCCAGCCCGTGCAGCAGGAGCCAGGGCCGCAGGAGCAGCCGCGTGCACCTCAAAGCCGACGGTGGCTTCTGCGTGGCCACCGCTTCCATCCTGCACGTCCCAAAGGGGACTTCGCCCCGCGGTGACAGCCCAGGGCCTGGCTGTCCCCGGTGCGCTGGCCGCGGCTCGGTGCA